CTCCTTCCCTATGGACTCAAAAATTTCCATCCCACCCTTCCCTGCGGATCCAAAATTCCCCATCCCAACCCTTCCGTGCAGATCCAAAATTCTCTATCCCGTTCTTTCCCCATGGATCCAGAATTCCCATCCCACCCTTTCCCATGGACCCAAAACTCCCCATCCCACCCTTTCCTGCGGATCCAAAATTCTCCACCCCAACCCTTCCGTGCAGATCCAAAATTCTCTATCCCGTTCTTTCCCCATGGATCCAGAATTCCCATCCCACCCTTTCCTGTGGATCCAAAATTCCCCATCCCAACCCTTCCGTGCAGATCCAAAATTCCCCATCCCGTTCTTTCCCCATGGATCCAGAATTCCCCCTCCTGCTCTTTCCCATGGACCCAAAATCCAAAATCCCCCATCCCACCCTTCCCCGTGCCCATAGAAAGGACCCCCCACCCCCTCCTCACCGAACGCCTGCAGCTTCCCCGAGTGGAAATCGCTGAGGAGGCTGAGCAGCCCCCCCTCCATCTCGCACACGTCCGACACATCGGTGAGGAAGCTGTGCTGCAGCGGAGCCCCCCGGGAGCCCCCCGGAGCCGCCCGCAGCCGCTCCTTGCTCGTCCTGCGCGGGGAACGCGGCGTTGGCATCGCCCGGGGGGCTCCGAGCGGGGTCCCCCGGGTGTCCCCCGGCCGCACTGACCGGCGGGGCCGCGGCCGCTGGCGGGGCGAGGGCAGCGTGGGCAGCGGCAGCGCGAAGGACGCGCTTTTGCTCGGGGGCAGCGGCCGCGGGGCTCCGGGGGGCGCGGGCTGAGCCAGGCAGGTTTTGGGGCTCCGCTTCTTCCTCCGCTCGTCCATGGCCGGCGCTGCGGGGGCTGCGGGATGGACACGGCGCTCGGACACTCCGGACGCTCCGGACACTCCGGACGCTCCCGCTCCGTCCCTGCGCGGTTCGTGGCCGAGGGTTCGGGCACCCCGGGACAAACGGGGACCCCCGGGACAAGGAGCGACACCCCCGCGGGCCCCGTGAGCGCGGAGGAGGAGCGGAGCGGGAGCTCGGGCGCCGTTCCCGGGGAGGCTCCGTTCTCCCGGCGCATCCCGGAGCATCCCCGAGCCCAGCCCGACCGGGGCCTGAACCGCAGCCGCAGCTCCGGCCGGGCCTCGGCTCCCGGAGATGGAGAATTTGCGTCTGGAACGAGCCCGGAGAGAGCGGGGCAGCGACCGTGAGGGGTCCGTGCCCCCGGAGTACCCCCCGGGCTCCCCGAGCTCCGCGCGGCGCCGGGACGGGGCAGCTCCGGGGGTGCGGAGCTCCTTTGTCCCCTTTGTCCGCAGCTCCGGCCGCCGTCCGGAGCTCCACGGCCGGGACTGACCTGCGCCAGGCCCGCTCCGGCCTCCGGGGCCCGCTGGACGCGGCGATCCCGACGGTCACCCCGACCCCCCGGACCCCCCGAGCCCCCCGGACCCGTCCGCACCGCCCGRGATTTGCATTTAAAGGGAAAGGGAACTTCCTCCGGGATCCGCCGGTCACCGGCAGCCCGCGGGACCCCCACCCCGGGATTAGGACCGGGAACGGAGCAGGRTCCGACCCCGCGGAGCCCCCGGGCCGTTCGCGCCACCCCCCGCCCCCGGTTTACCCCGAGTGCCCTCCGGTGTCACCGCAGCGCCGCCGGAGCGGGATCCGAACCTGCAGGAAGGACCGGGA